CGGCAGTGGACGCTCCATCTAAACAAAGCTTGAGTGCCGTGAACGTAGTCTAAACAGCGCCTGCAAACTGCATTCAGGGCGCCGTGAACGTAGCCTGCCAACTACATTCACGGCGCCGTGAACTTAGCCTGCAGACTACGTTCACGGCGCCGTAAACGTAGTCTGCAGGCTACGTTCACATCGTTGGCAGGCTACGTTCTCGGTGCCCTGAATTGCCTGAATGCAGTTTGCAGGCGCTGTTGCTGTTGAGGCTACGTTCACAGCACTAGAATCTAGATCTAAAGCATCATTTAGGGGGAGCGTCCACTGCCGGTTTAGTCCGCCGGTTTTAGTCAGTGACGACAGTGACGTATAGGCCTATTTAATATTTGGCCACCTCTATTTTCACCCGGGATGAGAATAGTGCAGGCTAGTCTTTTGGCTATTCTCACCCGCTGCACGTTCACCGTTATAGCCTAGATCTAGGCCAACAAATTTTGCGTTCACCCTAAACCACAGAATTCTACACTGTGATAACAGAAAAATTGTAGAATTCTGTGCCGTGAACAAACGTTCCATTACAACTGTAGTGTAGCCTTCTAAAAGCGTACAATTCTAGTCTAGATCTAGGAAATCCGAAACGTTACCGAAAACACGTCGTTCCATGTGGGTATCCCAGGAAGTGATGACATCACATTACTAAAATTAGCAGCCAATCAGAAAGATGCGTCTTTTCTACGTTTAACGGCATGTAGTAGAGCCTGTTGAACTATATGGTAATGAACGACATTAATGCGTGGCGTGCAGGCTAGACAAATCAGTTTTGGCAGGCGGGGTTGTAAATAGTTGGGAGGAGATCTTTCCAGTATTCGTTCTGACGTCTCTTAAATGTGTCCACGTTTGGAGCTGACACCACGGATTCTGGAAGATTGTTCCAAATAGTATTAACCCTATTCTCAAGAAAGTTTGCCCTCACACACAATCTGCTTCTTTGCTTCTGGAGCTTCTCGGAGTTGCCACGGAGTTACATTGTGTGGTTGTTGCCTTTGTAAACGCTGGTCTTACCGTGATGTAGTAGCCTTTGATATACTTTTACAACATTTCTATCATATCACCACGTAACCCACGATGTTCCAGGGATGGAAGCTTTAGTTTTTTCAGTCTTTCAGAATAAGGATGATAAAAATGCATTTATGCCTACTAATTTCAATTGCCGTATCTCGCGTCCGGGCGAGACTTGGGCGCGACCTTGTGGTAGAAAGAAAGAGGGAGAGACAGAAAAATAGAGAGAGAAGGGGGGAGGGGGAAGAGTGAAGGAAAGAGAAAAGGGAAAGAGAGAGAGACAGATAGAAAGAGAGAGAGGGGGGGGTGGTTGTTATATTTAATTAAAATAATTGATTCCCGTCATTTTCTCTCAGTGTCGGTTCCCAGGCTGACCCGGTGCAATACAGTCATTATTTTACACGTATGTTTTTATGACCAGTCCAGTCGCATCTTCCGAATCCCACCTTCTGTTTCCCATCTCTCACCTCTTGTTTCCTGATGTACCGTATCCAATTTTCCATACCCTATATCCCGACTTTAACGTTAAAATTCTGTTAGAGGTATCTTCGTTTTCCTTCATCTCATGGGATGGAACACTTGAAACTGGCCAAGATATTAATACGTCACTATCGTCACTGACTTAAACCGGCAGTGGACGCTCCCCCTTTAAAACGAATCTTTGTGCCGTGAACGTAGCCTCAACAGCACCTGCAAACTGCATTCAGGGCACTGTGAACGTAGCCTGCCAACTTCATTCATGGCGCCGTGAACATAACAACTGCGTTAAAATTTAAATACGAAGTGACTATTTATCCGAACGCTCGTGAAAATAAACTTCTTGATCTCTGTTTCTCCTAACGGTTTCCGTTCTCGAGATTTTTGGATTTTTTGGCGAGATTTAGGTCTTCCTTTCATTCTGCCATTAGACTGCAAGAAATGGGAAGAAGCATTTTTTGCATTAAATTATTTCTAGAGATCTAAATCTAGAGATTTTTAATTTATGTCAAAATATTCAGATACTTCAATTGTGATTGAGGCAACGTTCCCAGACTAAAATGCCTTCAAAAGGTACTGCGAGAAAACAAAACTGCTGGACTTTGGCAGTAACTTATTTTACATTTAGTCACCCCTAAAGCAAAAACTAAAATCCTTTATGTAAACAACAACAAAATCCCTCCACGCCCCCCCCCCCCCCCCCCCTTTCGCACCTCACACACACACACACACATGCGCGAGTGGGGGCCACTCCTTTCGCTAATAACCAACAAATCTCGAGAACGGAACCGTTCTGAGAAATAGAGTTCAAGTTTATTTTCCGGCGCGTTCGGAGAAATAGAGCCGGCCTTAAAATTAGGGAAGAGCAAGGGGAGGGGGACAACGGTAGTGAACACAGGTTCAGTGTAAACAAGCGATACAATTGTCATGAATAGTGAAGAAAAATGTGTGAAAAAAAAAAAAGAATGAGGTAGACTATAATTAATTTCTTTTTTTAAGTGCAAGTGAAGATCATATAAGAAGATGATTTTTGTTATTTTCTTGTCGTCTTTCCGCGGTTTATTAAATGTTCCAGTTGGCTTAAAATAATGTCTCTGAAGAACATTTTTCTTGACTCTATAAGCTTTTTTGTGTACTTGAAAGCATAAAAGATAGTTCGATACAATTGTATCACTATACTTTGAAAAAGAAGGATAGAGAGCTGACCGATGGTCATTAAGAGTAGTAAGAGGGTTTTTTTTAAGGCAGCTGTCGTGGAAAAAAAATCTACGCACATTTTCAAGACTTGTTTTTCTCTTAAAACCAATCAGGGAACAGCTGGGTCATGCCAGAGAGCACAGACTCTTGCACTCTGCTGGCCTTGCTTCTCTCTCTCTCTCTCTCTCTCTCTCTCTCTCTCTCTCTCTCTCTCTCTCTCTCTCTCTCTCTCTCTCTCTCTCTCTCTCTCTCTCTCTCCCTCCCTCCCTCCCTCCCTCCCTCCCTCCCTCCCTCCCTCCCCCTCCCTCCCTCCGTCCAAATGTTTTTAAAACACATATTGCGGCATAAATGATGATAATTGATATGGCAAGTACAGAATTTCGGGATGTAGACTTAAATGCTACGGGTTTCGCAAGGGTTAAGTTGGAAGCACTCTCTAGCTCGGCACCCATCGCAAATCCGGTAGTTTTGAAATTTGACACCTTAATCGGAATGGCGGTAGAGCTAGAACAGGTCCAAATTCGGAAACTGAAACTAGATCTAGATCTACCGAGACAGAAATTGTATTTTAGTTAATAGGCCTAGACCCCTGTGGCAAGAGCCGGTAGATCTCTGTCTTCGACATGTCGTGAAAACATGCATAGCCTTTTTTTAAACCGTGATAGGTCGTGAAAACGCGTGTAGAATTTTTTTCCACAACAGGTCGTGAAAATGCGCATAGTTTTTTTTTCACGACATGTCGTGAAAATACCAGCTTCCTTTTTTAAAAACAGAATCTTTTTTACACTGAGAAAAAGCGCTAAAAACAAGTTTAAAAGTCTAAAGAATGCCCTTAAAATTTGGAAATTACTACTTAGTTGGCTTTACTCTTGAATAACTATGAACAGTGAAAAAAACCCAAAGAGAATGATGTATGATTTGTCTAAATTCTAAATATGACCAACTAGCCCCCTTTCGATGTAAGGAATGATCGGTGCATTAACATCAACTGAAAGTCATTAGCCTTATAAATATATATATTTACACTATACTGGAATGGAGCAATAAATCTTGAGAGAAAAGTAACACGTGTTTCCAAGTTGCCAGATATATAATAGATGTATAGATTGATTCTCTCTTCCGCTTTTGTGGTTCTACACTCCAGAATTTCAAAGGCTAGTGAACGGAAACCTCACTTGTTTACAATGGCGTCTTAGAAGATGGACTTTCCCAAGATTAGATCTAAACAAAACTAATGAAAAACTGAAAATCAAACAACAGTGACTTCAGGCTCCTCAATGAAACTGCACCCTTTAAATGATTCTGAATCACCATTGATTTTGTCAAATTCGAAAGTTAAGTTGTTTGGAAGTTTTTGGCAGCCAAAATGACGAACTTTCACAAATATAATATAGATAGCAGCAAAGATATTGCCCATTTTGTCAATTTCGGGTTATCCTTGAAGGTGATTTTTTATCCTGTACCTCTATAATAAATACCCCAAAAATATTTCAGTGACTTTGTAAAGAGGTATTTTGTAATTGTGTACATTTTATGTAAAATTCCCCACAATTGAAGTATACCACCTTTAAAAAATATGCTTTTTTTGTAGAGTAATGGTCATTTGTGTTGTAAAGTTGCATTTTGGTGTCACAAAAACTCGGGGTTAAAATGGCCTGAAATTGGCCATATTTTAGATATGAAAAATCATCATAACTTTTTAACCAAATATATATATATATATATATATCAACACAATTTAAACTGTTTTATGATCATGAAGGCAAGGGCTTTTAAATAAAAGTATTTCAAAGCTGAAATTTTCACTAAACAGCCTAATCTTAAAGCCTTTCCATTTGCCTTGCTTTTGATAGAAAAAAATATCCATTTATCTTTTGTACAAGTCAAGATATTGGCGAATGAAGGAGATGGGGGTCTCCTGGTTTCAGAGGTAGAATTAGCGAGAGAATGGCCGCCAAATTGCGTTATTTATTTCCTTAGTGTGAGAGTCCGTGGAAGCTGCAAATTCACATCTTTTATGCCTTTAATCAACATTTTTCAGTAAAAGCCACACAGAAATGTGTTCTTGAATGGGCATGAAAGGTGTTGAGTGTTGAGCCAAAAAACAAAAATTCAATAAAAATTTCAAAACCTACGGGAAAATGCCAGTTTCTTCACTTTCATTATTTTGACGAGCGCCTGATTTCATCACAGTGCCTCACAAATTATTGAAGATGAGTTTTGATTGCATTGTTTTGGCCAGTTAGACTGAGTGTAGGCATATCAATCTTTACAATCGGGTACAAACAACTCAGACATTTCTGGTATTTTATCAAATGTTAGGCATCGTGATCAAATCAGGCTCTTGTCAAAATAATGAAATTGAATTGGCATTTTTCTGCCAGTTTGGCAATTTTTATCAAATTTTTTTTTTAAATTGGATCAACACTTTTATGTATGTCCATTTAAAACACATTTCTGTGTGTAGATTTTGCTGAGGAAGGTTGATTAAAGACACAAAAATATTTAACTTTTCAGTTTACAAGGACTATTAACTCTTGTCCTGCATCTGTGCTGAGATGCGAATCTTATCAGCAACCAATTACGTCGAACGTTCCGGGCAGGCCGCCGGGGTCAGTCAGTACGTACTGTTGGTGTACAGCCTGCGCGCCGGGAAACGTGTGTTTTCGCCATGAATACCGTGGGAGTGTGTTAATCGATGATGAAAATAACGCTCTATCTTTCATAGTTTTCTATTTATAAAGTGCTACAAACACATGAATAACCCCCTCTCACAAGCTGATAAGACATTACGAGTAGTTACACCCATTCGAATAACCTTTCTAGATGCTCTTGTTGTTGTGAATGAGCTGGGGTTCGAAAGGGGATAATATAGGTCAATTTCCGAATGTTTTGCACTCAAATTGTTCTTTGTACTTGCACAATGGTATTCATCAAAATTATCAAACAAGCTTATTTTTCATCAGGTAGTATCATTTCTTACAAAATCAAGCTCATTTTAAAGATTTTGTATAGAAAAATGGAAGTCTTGTTTCCTGACTATCCTTTCGGGCTCCTCATGTCTAAGTGGGTCAATTTGTTCTATAATTTCATTTGACGAACATCTAGAACTACCAACTTGGCGTGTTTTGAATGAGACGTATGCCTCGATTACGAACCAATGCAGGCGGTTCTTGAAGAAGGCCACAAACTCAAGCAGACTGACGCACACACACTTAACTTGCATGAATGGAGATCCGACGCGGGACCCGAATTGGAAGTCTTCTAAGGAAGTCACAAAACTTTTGTGGCTATTTTCTCACTAATTTTACTCCTGAAACAAGGTGACTCCCACCTCTTTCATAACGAAATGTCTCAGTTTGTATCTTGGATAGATGGGTATTTTTTCACGGAAAGCAGGAAAAAAGAACTAGCTAAAAGATGATTTCAATAACTCCACATGCCCAAAAATTGATGAGGGCCTAATTCCACTGTGTCATGACACAAAGGTGTTTGACACTACATCCGTTATTCGGGTAAACTGATTTATAACAAAAAAATTAAGAAATGTCTGTCGGGTTTGTATGGCAAATGGCATGAGCTATCCATGATTTTGAGGTTTCTGCTTTTGTGTTATCTGTGCCAGACTGTGTATCTTGTTTTCCTTTTCCAGTCTATTTTGTTATGTCCCCACCCCCGCATGTTTACTCTGATAAGTTATGAAGATCACCTAAGTGAGGTGAAGAATTTGTCAGGGAATGAAATGATTTGCTGTTTTTGTTTATTCCACAGAAAAGTTGTTAGTAGTCCTGAGAGATGGTCGGACTCTAATTGGCTATTTGAGGACAATTGACCAGTTTGGTATGTTTACGTTTAGTTCAGGTTTAACCCCATTACTGGCATGTTCCGATTAAACCGACACTTTCTGTGGGGTCAGTCGGTTAGTGCCGATATAATTGGAGCTTATGAAAATCAGTGCTTCCTATCTTCCATATTTTTAAAGAAATCCCCATTTTCTTCTGAAAGTTCCGTGACTGTTGCCCCATCATCATCTATTATTCGTAAAAAAGAGATAGCGTAGGGTTTCTGATGTCCTGTAGAAAAGAATCTGTACTCGCCTTCATTTCATCTTGGATAAGTTCCGGATATTTATGGTAACTCTCTCAGCAAAATTGCACACATTTCCTGCAGTCAGCCATCACCCCTCCATGCATTCATTGAGGTTTGGTCAGCAATACATTTAAACCTGCAGATTGGTCAAAATCTGGCGAGCTATGATATCAAGCTTTTTGTGCCAATTTCTTCCTTTCTGTTTTGTCATTCGCCCTTTCTGTCTATCTTCGGATTGTTGCTGCAAGTGGAAAGTCTCTGCGCTGATCAGGTATTCTTATGTCTTGACCTTGACAATATGTCTGTGTTGTTTTTTTGTCATTCTGTCTTAGAGTTAAGCTGAAGGGGACTACTAAGATATATGGGAATGAACAGGTCAGCCAAGGGAGTTATTAAAAATTGTTTGAGCATTCAATCTAAGTGGTACAATAGTTTATTTCTTAAGTGCACCCCTTAATTTAACTTCAGTTCTTGTAGAGCCAACAGAAGCCATTTTGTTTAAATTTTATATTAACTTCAAGGGTTGTTCAGATATATTTTATATACCCCACCTCCATTCATTTAATATGGACAATGTATTGTAAATATTTTAAGATTTGTAGAAATAAAACTTCTTATGTGTGTATTTTCTCTTGATCAGCCAACTTGGTACTGCACAGGACTATTGAACGGATTCATGTGGGAAAGAAGTATGGAGACATCCCAAGAGGTATTTTCATAGTGCGAGGTGAAAATGTCGTTCTTCTTGGAGAAGTGGTAAGTGAAGTGTATGGCAGTCTTCATTAGATCAATGCATCCTTGCCGTCATTTTAAAAAGTACAGTGTGTCCAGTTTTCACAATTTTATAGGAGAGCCAAAAATCTGAATGTTGTTACACAGAAAACAAATTCTTTGCAAACATCCCAAGCCGGTATTTTTAAGAATACAATTTTGATAATAACTTCTGTCAGAAACAAAATTTTCAAAGTAGCTGAACGGAAAATTTCTCTGTTCCATATGAAAGGTCTGTGAACTCTGTGTCTCCTGAGAATTTTGGTTCCATTCTTTTACCTCTCTGTCAATTTTTAAGGAAATAGCAGCTGTTTTTGATAGAATAAAATATTGCTAAATTCGCTAACTGGCTGCTACCCTATGTTTGACAGATAATTAATTAAAAGAGTACCAAGTGCACCAAACATCTTCACAATAACAAAGCACAGTCACTTTAACATAGATGTGGAACCTGATTTTTTTTCAGGACTGTGAGATCATTACAAAACAGTATTTTATTGCCTCAGACACGATGATCTGTCGTTATTTCGACAAAAACACTTTTAACGCTGTCCCGGCCGGCGCGCACCGGCCCCCGCAGCGAGCAAGTTGACTCTATTCTGTAGTGAACTGAGTGCTCCCCGCATGGAGGGTCACATGCTTTCATAGTTTGGAAGGATTGATGCAACATAATTCCAAGCTAATGTTTTTGTTCTAATAGAAAATGAGCTGATCTTTCTATCTGTACCCCTTTTTAGCTGTTATATTACATATTTCGTGTTAAAAATGATCTTTGAAAACTTTGACACTATTTTTAAAGGCTTTCTGTTTAAACACCCAAAGGCAAAAAATGTACCACTGGAAATCACGTTCAAATCTCTATAGTTCTCTGCCAGTGAAAAGACAGTATTTAGTCATCATCTTTCCGCAAAGCTTTTGAATGCTTGGGTTTTTATTTTTTAACCGGCCGACCTCGCATTCCGACCAAGAGGGACTTCACTTTCCTGGGTGATTCTCCAGCTCCAAATGCTCTGATATAAAAACAACTTACACCACTGTAACAAAGAAAAGCTGGATTTTTTAAAGGTGTATGTATAGCATTTGGTGTTTTATAGCAAAAGAGCAAAGAAACAGCAATCTGAATTACCCTGATTTTATAGAAATCATGCACTTGGTAGGCCATGATGCCGTGTTTAGGCTACCTATTAAAATTTTAAGTAAATGTTGTCTTCTCGGTAAGTTTTTTGGCTGTCCTGTAAAATTGTAGAAACCGCACATATTATTTTTTTTTTATGACAGCAGATCTTGTGTTTAGCTTTGTCTCAGTTAGTTTAGGTGTTCATTATAATATGGCCTGACGCCCTGCTTGTGTGGGATTTAATCTATCCTGTGAAGGGCAGTCTTTAGTTTGAATAGCTCCAGCTTTTTAAAACTGTAATGTTTGGTTAAGTTTTGCAGTAATTTTTTTTTCAAGTGTGTAAGTGCTCAATATTAGGCATGTATCCCACGGGGGGGGGGGGGGGGGCACTCATGGCCTAGAGGTTAAGGTGTTCAAAGGTCCCGGGTTCGAATCCGGGTAACGACGGAAACATTTTCTTCTCTAAAAATTGTCTCCTATCACCTTCTTTCCTTCTCTCTGGCAATATTCTGTCATCTGCTTTCATCTCCACTTTCTCATCCCTCCCCCTCTCCTCCTTTGCCCCCTCCACTGGTCTCCTGACTCTTTCTGCAGCCTTTCTACTGCTACTCCTTGGCTCTTTACTGCTGTCTTTCAGCCACACCCCTGATCTTCTGGTAGGAAGGATCTACACCTAGCCTTCTCGGACAAGGGCGAAAAATCTCGGAGGTCCCGTGTGCAAGTTGCGCGCGTTAAAGATCCCTTGGTGGTCCAAAATTGATAAGAGTAGGCTTTGGCCGCCACCCGAGCAAAATTCTAAATTTCCTACCGATTGAAAATGTTTGATGTGTCCTGCGCGCTCATATGACCTTATGCAGTTGCGAGCCCCGTAAAACGCTTACCAAAAAAAGAACTCTGAACCATTGCTAAAAAGAACACTTTATCGACATCTTTAGTTCCATTAACAATGTTGTTGTGCCAGAATTTGGCAATTTCTTCTATGAAACAGAGTTACAATGGTTCCATATAAAGGGCGATAATCACTTAATCCACGATCTTATAAATGTCTAATAATGATGTTTCAAGACAGTCCGAAGTGCCTGGCAGTCTCTGCACTAAGTTGGAATGGGTTTTCAACATGAGTGTTGACAATAACCTAATTCTGATGTTGAGTTGTCACCCTTGGTTGCCTACATCTCGGCTTGCCTTGGACAGTTCTAGTGGTGTTAAAACGTTTGTTCAAGCGTTAGATGGTTCCTCTGCAAACATTTACGAGTCTTGCAACTGCAAAAAGCGCAATAAAAGAATTTATCATACACACAGCCCCTTTATTTTCTGAACTTATCATTTTTTAAATTTTGAAAACAGGAGAAAAGGGTACCCAACAGTTAAAAAGTACGAATTTTATAGTGTGTAAGGTGTTTACACATTGTCTACGTGATTCAAAGCAAATTTTGTGTGTAGGAAGCGTTGATTTCAACACAGACCGAGAGAAATCGATACCAGCACTTTGTCCACGTACTACTTCCGGTTTAGGATTTCTTTTGTCTGCTCTTGCACAAGAAGTTTCATAAGTCCCACAAGTCATTCTTTTAATTTTGACTGCAATTCTTATGCTATACCGAAAATAATCATAATAAAATGGGTTTGACAGAACTTTTGCAACTCTGTATATAATGACTTGTCTCCTTTCTTTACCTTAGCCTTAGTCATGTTTAACGAGAGGTCGGATCCAACGAGGACAACAAGCCAGTCCCGGCAACCTCTTTGAATGCGACACCCACTGTATAACACAACTAGCCCAAGGTATCGATAGACATGGAGCTATGGCCAATGTGCAAGTCTAGTTGGAGCAACAAAAAACATTCTTAAGTAGTCTTCACTTTATTGTCCACATGTAATTCATTAGCTTTTTGATGAATGCATATATTCAAGATTTTTCATTCTTCTTCTATTAAGCTATTACTCTACTCTTACCTACTGAGCCCAGAGCTTAGCATTCAAGAATGACCCGTTTGGGTCAGATTGGATATTGGACTTTCGCACTTACTCTATTGAGATTTGATCTGCTCAATGAAAGTTAGACAAAAGCAATGATAATAATAAATGATAATGATAGATATTACCTCTTAATAGTGCTTTATCCCATACAAGTATAAGTCACTCGTATAATAATTTTCTTTAATGTGTTTCAGGACCTGGAAAATGAAAACAACCTGCCCTTGGAACAAGTGGATATTGACACCATTCTGGAGCTGCAGAGAGCGCAACAGATGGAGCGGGAAGCTGAGCAGGAACGAAAGAAAAAGGCTATGGCAGAGCGTGGGATTCACATTGATCAGGCCATTGATGACTTTTGATATGATTCTTATACTCTTGAGGTATTCTGGGAGGGTTTTTTCCACCATGAATAATGAATGAAATTCTTGTGCTGACATTTCTCAGCTGAGTGTTGTAAAATGTAAACCATGTTGATGTATAAATTTTCATTTTTTTGTGTTTTTGCAATCCGATAGATGTTTTTGGTGTATGTGAGAATGCAAGAGTAGTTTTCATTTATAAATGAATAAATTGTACTTTTTTTTATCTTCCGACAGTTTTTCATTGTGATAAATTGTGTTAGATAAATGTGTTCACAGTCACTCTCTCCCTCACAGGCTCAGACAAAATAAATGTTAATATAACGGCTCTTTGTTTTGTTTTTTCTCTTTGCATTTTATTTGTCCTTCAAGCTCTGAATAATTGCAATATAATAAAGGGGTGCACATGATACCATGTGGCATTGGCAGTACATATTCATTGAGAGTGCTAGTAAGTGCTAACAAGAGTTTTTATCTTTTTACCATTTCTGCATGGGACTTGCCTTTTTTTGGTAGCCTACATGAAGTGAACATTACTATATCTAGCAACCAGTCAAAAGTGTGCTGCTTTCTATGATGAGGATGAAGCTGTCCTTAGCTGAAAAATAAAAAAAATGTTGATACTGACCTGGACTTTTTGTCTTTTTCATCAGTTATACTAAAGTATTTATGTGTGCACCTGGAGAAAGGGGATAAAAAGTTGGCCCGTATTGTTTCAGGCTACAGGCTGATAAAGTAAAAAATCAATTTTTTTTTTACCAAATCACCATTTCTGAACCATAAATTAAAAGAATTTTCATTTACTTGATTTCTAAGTCTTTTAGTGCTTTTTATATGGAATTGTTTTGATGGCAGGCTGTTCTTTAACCTTTACCACACGCTGTGTACCAAAAATGGTACAGGACATTTTAAATTTCGTTTCATTCTGTTATTGCTAGCTTCACGTCTATGGGCAGCTAAGAAAGCCTCAAGTACTTCATTTCCGACATTGAAACAATGACCTTTAGAAGTTTTGGTCTCAAGTTTTGAACTTGATAACCGTTTTTTACCCTACCACCTATTCGTACTTCGTGTCCCAATAATGGCACACACTGGGAAAAACTGCAGACCCTAGGCCGAGGCATCCAAAAATAAATTAGCACGCTAGGTCATGACGATGCAAGTTCAATTTTATGCATGCACATATGTTGCTCTCTGAGGGTCCCGCTATCTAATGCTGGGGAGGCTGCTAAGCGTGTACGTATAGCAGGGTTACATGCTGAGCGTGAAGCCAAACCCCAACATAATTTACGTAATCTTAGTAATATTTCCAGTTTACTCACCCTTCCTTGTCGAAACAGTTCTCCGTTCTCTCTTTTAATGGTCGCTATCTTGAAAAAAGTTAATAACGCTCTCGATTACGAGTTGTTCCAAAAATGGTACACGGCGTACACGCTGCGTAGTAAATACCGACTTACAGTAAATGTTAAAAAATTGAAAATGTCTTTCAAAAAGTGACTAAAATCTATGCTTGGTATCTGTCTCCTCTTCGCCAACAGTTTATTTCAAGTGAAGTCGAACCTCATCATGTTACACCAAAATATTCACAGGGACTTCCCCTGCATTTCAGATAGCAGTATACATCAACGTATCTGTGCCTGCAAACAAATCGCACTACTTTTATGCATCCTTACAGTAGTGGCCATTTTGATGTCTTTGCAATGCACTGTTAAAAAACTTTTCTCAAAATCATATCTACGTCACAAAAGGGGCAATATCTCGGGGAAAAAAACTATGTGAGATACATGTACCCGAAAAATTAAAAAACCTCTGTGTTCAGCATTGAATTTTCTTTACTACATATGTATTAAACTGTTCATCTAAAAAACTTTGTGCCTTTTTTCAAGAACACACATTTGTTAATGTTTTTCTTGCCCTGCAAAATTTGAGTTGACATAGAACAAGGGACTGCACTGTGTCTATGTGGCTGATATGTGTCAGCCTGCTGCATGTTGCGGGGGGCTCTCGTGGTCTAGAGGTTACAATGTTCGCCTCTCATTCAATAGGGCCCTGGTTCGAATCCAGACAGCAACGGAAATTTTTTTCTCTAAATTGTTCTCCTTTCACCTCCTTTCCTGCTCTTTTTTAACAATGTTATGTCGTCTGCTTTCGTCTCCACTTTCTGTCCCCACCCTTCACCTTCTTTGCCCCCTCCTCTGGGTTCCTGACTCTTTCTGCAGCCTTTATTCTGCTACTCCCTGGCTCCTTCTTGCTGCTGTCATTCAGCCACACCCCTGATCTTATGGTAGGTAAGATCAAACACCTAGCCTTCTCTGATAAGGGCCACAAGTTGGAGGTCCCATGTGCAAGTCGCGCATATCCTTTGGTGGTAAAAAATCGAAAAGGCTGCCACCCGGGCAAAATTCAAACTCAATTCCAACCAAACTAATATGTTAAACGTGCCCCGCGTGCTCATACGACCTGATGCAGTTCGAGTGCTGTAAAACACTTACCAAAACAAAACTGCATGTCGCTTGAGACACACTCTTGTGATGGCCATTTGACAAACAGCTCGATGGAGGTAAAATGAACTAGTACAAAGAAAAGTAAGTGGGTTGATGGCAGGTGCTCTGGTGTGATTTGCTTCTTCTTTTCTATCAAAATCGAACTTCTATTGTCCTTATAATCTTTCCTCTTTTTCTTTGCATGTTACATTTTGTAACATTTCTAATCTTTAGCACTTATAGGTTATATGACCTATTTGTTTTAAAAGTGCCTAAAACTCTTACTAAAATTTTTAAAGAGCGTAGTGGGATGAACCAAGGGGAGAAAAAGGAGGTCTATATAAATTGAACACGGACTGACTTCTTCGGGCGCTCCATAAGCTCACTTGGTATCATGTTGGACTGCGGAGCAGATGGCCCTGGTTCAAAGTTTAAAATGGCATTCTTGTTTTGGATGTTTAGGAGAGTTTTTAAGGCTCTCCACCCATTTGGCTTGGTCATATTATAATTACAGACGAACATTTAATTCGGAGGTCCCACTTTGTACAATGTATACCTTACAATTACAAACTTAGTGTTGAAAGGGGTGTTAAGTCTGTCTATACAATAACCAATGACTTCTTATCTTATCTCTCTTTTAAATGAGAATCGTTGTTGGGTTTTAGTTTTAGTAAGGTTTTACGGCGCTCGCACCTGTGTAAGGTCATATAAGCGCCAAAGGTTGATTCAGTAGAGAAGTCTAAATATATGGGGAATCAGGATTACTCTGTTCACCTCTCTAACCTCAACAGCACAAAGTCTGCTTCGTCGACTATCAAGGCAACCCGGAAATAGTACAGTGGAAACCTGATATAACAGGGATGGTGGGACCAAAGAAAAATTCCTGTTAAATCAGAAATGCAAGGGAAGTAAGCATATGTCGACTAATCCAGCTGTATTTCTTCATAGGTAGTTTCCCATGGCCGGCGCATGACACTTCACGCGTGCGTGTAGTTAGGCGTAAGGCTTGATCGAAGTCGGCAGCCCTCTCTCGCTTCACTCACTGCATGTGCCAGTGGCGTGGTTTGCCTGCGTGGGCTTGCTCCATCACTGCGTTACTCTCTCTCTCTCTCTCTCTCTCTCTCTCTCTCTCATTCTCTCTCTCACTTTATACACATTGTTAACTAGCCTTTGTCCCTGCTATATGACCGATTGGACTCCGATCAGGCCCTGTTATTGCCGATAATTTAATATTAATAGCGACAAAGAGTAGGAAGGGGGCTCTCGTGGCCTAGAGGTTAAGGTGTTGGCCTCTCATTCAAAGGTCCCGGGTTCGATTCCGGGTAGCGACCAAAAAATTTTCTTCTCTAAAATTGTCTCCTTTCACATCCTTTCCTGATCTCTAACAATGTTCTGTTGTCTGCTTTCATTTCCACTTTCTGCCCCCACCCCCTCACCTCCTTTGCCCCCTCCTCTGGGCTCCTGACTCTTTCTGCAGCCTTTCTACTGCTACTCCTTGGCTCCTCCTAACTGCTGTCTTTCTGCCACACCCCTGATCTTCTGGTAGGAAAGATCTACACCTAGCCTTCTCGGACAAGGGCGAAAAATCTCGGAGGGCCCGTGTGCAAGTTGCGCACGTTAAAGATCCCTTGGTGGTCTAAAATCGATAAGAGTAGGCTTCGGCCGCCACCCGGGCAAAATTCAAAAATTTCCTACCAACGAAAAAGTATTAGGTGTGTCCCCCGCGCTCATATGACCTTATGCAGTTGCGAGCGCCGTAAAACCCTATACTAAACAAACAAAACAAAGAGTAGGAAAAAAACGATGATTTAAAAAAATCCCTGTTATTAACCGGATCCGTTTTTACCGGGCGTGTATGGGTTCCACCGTAGTTCACAAGAAAGTGACACACATACAAAATTACAAAAGAGGTAGAGGAAAATGACGATAGTAATGGTGGGGAAAGAAAAAGCAGCAGTCCCTCCTATGTTGTTCCGGGACAGTATGAGCATGACACTGATAGATCAGCCCATTTACAATTCTACTGTGCGTAAGAACATGTTAATATCCCCCCTTTGGGAATGGCCTAAAGACACTTCAGTCAGCAGCACTGCCCTGGGGGAAACTCTTTGATCTTTTCAAGAAACAAACATGTTTAGTAACATGGGTTCATTGTTTTCTTACAATGCATGACATGTATTTTTTTTTAATCTAAGGTGGTCAAGGTAAAAGGAGTTTTTATTTTGATCGTTTTATTATCATGAAGAAAAGCAAACAGAATTTTTCCCAAATGGTTGGCTGAGGTAACTAGAGTTTTGAGATAACCGAGGTTGTGCTGTATGGAGCATATAATAATAATAATAATAATAATAATAATAATAATAATAATAATAATAATGAAGGTCATTTCTATAGCGCCCACTCCCATGTAAACACAGCTCTAGGCGCTTTACATAAATGCATGTACAAACAACATTCACGCACGCTACACACACGCACAATACACACACTCATACACACACACACAAACACACACACATATACACATACACACACAAACACACACATACACACTCACGAACACATAACACGCATACATGTGCACACACATGTATGCCAATCACACACACACGCGCGCACACACACACACACACACACACACACACACACACATACACACACACACACACACACACACACACACGCACACACATCTACTTGCTTATCACAAGCACACGCTTACACATCGTCACGAAATGAGCATAAAATAATATACACAATGCAATTCACAAAATACATAAATGGATACATAGTCATTTACATAGCATTGTACTGAACATGAACTACTGACATAAAAAGGATGTCATTAAATGTGTCTTTAAAGATTTCTTAAATTTAGACTCAGATGTTGTATGTCTCAAGGGTTGGGGGAGAGAGTTCCAAACTGACGGAGCAAGGTGGGCGAACGATCTTTCAGCTAATTTTTTACCCCCTTTTCTAGGAACTCTTAAAAGATACTGATCGCCTGATCTTAGTGATCTGGATGGAATATAAATCTGGATGAGATCACTAAGATATGAGGGAGCTTTGTTATTGACACATTTATGACATAATATAGCAATTTTATATGACATTCTAGCTGACACGGGAAGCCAATGCAACGTTTTTAACATGGGCGTAATGTGGTCCCTCTTCTTTTTCTTTAGTACAAGCCTAGCAGCATGATTTTGAAAACGTTGTAACTTGTGAAGAGTGGTATTTGGTAAGTTAACTAGTAAAGCATTGCAGTAATCGATGCGCGAAAACAAGAAAAATGACACGAGCGTTTTCAACGAGTATTCATTCAAAAACATAGACATATGATCAATTCTACGCAATTCACAAAATAAAATGGTACATAAATAATTGATATGATGTTCCATTGACAATTTTGAATCAAAATACACTCCCAGATTTTTTGCTTTATTAGTAAAATACAGTTTTTCATTTTCAGTACAAATATGATCAATGTCTACGGGGATATGGCTTTTCTTTGGGTTACATAAAAGAATTTCAGTTTTATTTTCATTAAGCTGGAGCTTATTATCAACCATCCACTTTTTGATGTCATCAATGCACAGACCCATGGTAGTAAGCAAGGTTTTAACATCTGCTGGTGGAACAGATTTATATAACTGTGTATCGTCAGCGTACATATGATAATTCATATTGTGCTTTCTAATCACAGTTCCAAGCGGCTGTGTATATAACGTATACAAGATTGGACCCAATACTGAACCTTGAGGCACTCAAAAGTCTAGCTTAAAAATTTTCGAAAGAGAGTCGTGCACAACCACATATTGTGTACGGCCAATCAGGTAGGACCTGAACCAGTCAAGAACCCTGCCAGACAGGCCAAACGTGTTGAACAATCGTTCAATAAGAATAGTGTGATCTATAGTGTCAAAGGCAGCACTAAGATCAAGAAGAGAAAGAATTGATATTTTGTTCTCATCCGCCTCACACAAGAGGCCGTTATATATGTTCAATAGCGCAGTTTCTGTGTTATGAAATTGCCGATAGGCAGATTGATATAATTCATATAAATTGTTTTCTTTTAAATGATTCTTCAATTGAACCAAAACAACTTTCTCCAAGATTTTTGATAAAAAAGGAAGGTTGGAGACAGGTCTGAAATTCTTGAGCTCCACAGGGGAAAGATTTGTGGGGGGTTTTAGAAGGGGAATAACTAAAGCATGCTTAAAGAGTGATGGTACTACTCCAGACTGAAGAGACTCATTAATGATAGTAGTTATAAATCCAATGACACTATCAAGATGTGTGATGAGCAGTGGTGTTGGAATGGGCTCAAGACTACATGTTTTATGGGGTGATGACATTATGATTGATCTTACATCTTCTTGTGTTACACATACAAATTCATTAAAGATTACCCCAGAAAATGTTTCAAAACATGGTGGTTTATGGGTATTCGTGTCAATTTTTTTCCTGATCGTGGATATCTTGTCTCTAAAGTATTGACCAAAAACATCAGGAAGGTCACTTTTAGGTACATTCGAGGGAAACTTGTTGCTGGCTGGATCTTTCTTACCAGACAACTGATTTGTTATACAAAATAAAGCTTTAGAGGTGGTACATTCATTAATTTTTCCGTTATAATACATAAATTTGGCAGATGTTATTAACGATTTCACTATGTTGTTACAGTGTCTATAAATGTCCTCATGAATTTTCAGCAATTGTTGATCTCCAGCGTCTTTCTGCTCGTCTACGTTCCATTTTAGATTGTTTAATTTCCAAAGTCATCCACGGGGCAGAAGGTCGATTAGTCACTGTTCTGGATTTGACCAGTGTATGTTTGTTTAGTAGTTCACACATCTTGGTGTTGAAAATGTCTACCTTCTCGGAGGTTGAACTGTCTATGAATTTTAGAAGCTGGCGAATGTCTGCTCCAAACATTTCATTATCAATGTCCATTTTCCGGGTTGTAATTTTGCGGTGTCTCAGTTTGGGCTTCCCTATACGAGTTATTTCAAAGGACACCACGTAGTGATCAGAAATGCATTTGTTCTTTACTTGAATCTCACCGATTTTATTGACACTGTCCGTAATCACCCAATCTAATATACTGGTACAATGTACATTTTCGGTGTGATAAGGTTTATTTTGTTTGGTGGAACAACATATTTTAAGGTTTAATTGTTGTCGATGTACGACTCTAACTGTGTATCTGCCAAATTAGGTCAAACAGCTTTTTTTTGGAAAACTGTAATTTGTTTCTTACTATCTTCTAAAATTTCTCAACATGTTGTGTGAGCGTTCTTTTTGCTTTATTAAAGTATCACCATTTTAAATTTTTATTAGGGGCGGGGGGGGGGGGGGGGGGGTTAAGTGTTTTACGGCGCTCACAACTGCATAAGGTCATATATGAACGCCCGGAGCACACCGAACATTTTCAATTGGTAGGAAATTTCGAATTTTACCCAGGTGGCGGCCGAAGCCTGCTCTCATCGATTTTGGACCTCCAAGGGCTCTTTACTGTGCACGACTTACACACGGGACCTTCGAGATTTTTCGCCCTTGTCCGGGAAGGCTAGGTGTAGATCTTTCCTACCAGAAAATCAGGGATGTGGCTGAAAGATAGCAGTAAGAAGGAGCCAAGGAGTAGCAGTAGAAAGGCTGCAGAAAGAGTCAGGAGCCCAGTGGAGGGGCAAAGGAGGTGGGGGAAGAAAGTGGAGACGAAAGCAGACGACAGAATATTGCAAGAGAGAAGGAAAGAAGAGAAGGAGACAATTTTAGAGAAGAAATTTTTTCCGTTGCTACCTGGATTCGAACCGGCGACCTTTGAATGAGAGGCAAACACCTTAACCTCTAGGCCAGGAGAGCCCCCCCCCCCCCCCCACACACACCATTCAGTTGTAATTACAGTTGTAAAAAACATTATTTCAGATAAAAGAAGTGTTTGACTTAATTTGTCAGACACAGGTTTAGAGTGAGACACTGATATGTCGTACTATAGTATTGACGCACAAAAAATGTTCCCACTGGGTTACTCAATCTTATTAAAGTGTCTACTAGCTCAAAGTTTAAAAGAGCAGATATAAGTACCGTAAGTTCATTATCTTTGCTTATAGCTTTGGATAAAAATACATGTAGTTCATATGCTCAAGTTGTTTTAATCTTTACAAAGAAAATATTATTCATGCCTGCCCTAATGTCATGTTCATCCATGAACGTCTACGACATTGGCTCCAGAGAGACATAATTTTGTGACAAATTTCTCGTTGGCATGATTGTATTTAACAACATAGATTTATAATTTAAAAAGGCTGTTTATCTCCTGGATTTTTACTATACACCATTGTTGCAATACTTAGTGAGCTGTTGAAGAATTTCCTCATCTGATCCCCTCCACATAACACTTAGCTGAGGCCATATCCGCTGAGCGTGATTGATCACATAACGGTTTTCAGGGTTCAGAGATAATGCATGATAACTCATTGTGTAGGATTGTGCAAAGCGAGCACATATGCACAACTTGAGATGGCGGATCTCCATCTGACTCAGTGTCTTGTGTCTCAAGTATCCAGCCAGAATTCTCGCACCTGCTTCCATCGGGGGCACACCGTTCCGGTTAAGCATCGCGTATATTATCGCTATAGCAACCTCAAAGATGTACAGAGATACTGTGCTGTCGCCGAAATCGATGATGCCAACTAGATGAGTGTTTTTACAAACATCTGCATTGAGTGTTGCGGAGGTTGGGGTCACTGCAGTTTTGCCAGTTTCTTTACTGAAAGCTGTTGTCTCACACTCACAATTCCTTCCGGTTTCAGTCCTGAGGCCTTCAGTTTTCGTCTGTCCAAGTGAAACAGGAGTAGGCTCATCTTCAGAGACTAGTATGTTGCCATCATTGAAGTCTCCATGTATTAAACCTGAAAAAAGTATTAGTTTCTTGAAGGGGTGGTTAGAATTAGAGGGGTGGACGATAAACCTTGTCACTTTATTAATCCCTTTGATTCTGAGTTCAAAGAAATTGACAGCAGTGCCTTTAAAAAATCAGGTGGTTAAAGTAAAGAGGAACCACTTTTTTAAAACTCATACTCATAGTGCATGTATCACATTTTGTTTATTGGGTGCTAGTCAAATACAAAATAGTTTTAGTTAAAAGGCCACTTATCACTTTCCCCACGTCTGCAATGCTGGCTCTTGACCTTTACACTTTAATTCATAATGTGGTCGCATCACTGTGTATCTGTCCCCGCAAAATTATGCAAATTTAGATTGCCAAATTATGCAATACAAATGCAAAATTATGCAGAAAATATGCAAGTTACCGTAACGCCATTCACGACATGTTTTGAGCTTTCTAACAAGAATTCTCATGTTTTAGATCTGTGTACAGAGGAATGGAAAACGGAACATATCAGTATCAGTAGGGTTTTTTTGTGTTTGGAAAGATACACATCAGTCTGAAAAAAAAACCACCAAAAAATACAATCTCAGTAACTTTCAGCTGTATAGAGGAAAGAAAAATGATTTCACAAATTAAAAAAAAAAGACATCTGGACCTCTGATGCTGGCACGCCGCTAAAACCAGGGACACCTGTCAAACATGAAACATCAGCAGACATGAGAACAACTTTTGATGGATTGAAAAATTGAACATGCTCAAGGAACAAAAATTGCAACAAGGGAAATAACCAATTGGTCACTTAAAGGAGACTTATTACTTTGATTACTTCCGTTTAGTCACATGGCGAAGTGTTAAGATGTTTTGTGAAATATTTTATTAAAAAACGTGTAAAATCACGGGGAATCCAAAATTATGCAAATGTTGCAGAATTATGCGAAAAAACGCCTCCGCACAATCACATAATTCTACGGGGACGGTTGTATGAATTACACAGTGGTTTTTTTAATGGCTGGTGTAAATTTAAAAATCCAAGATCATGAGTCCCTTTTATTATAACGATGAAGGGTATCAGTCGGAGTCGGTGACATTTATTTATTTTTATTTTTTTGGGGGGGGAGGTTAAACAGATTGTGTAGTCCAAGAATTGCTTGCTTTCCCTCAGGTATATGTGTGACCTTGCCTTGGACTAGTGTAAAAGTATCATTTCGACCCCTAAAAACGTTACCAAGATGAACTGAACACACACAGAGGCGAAGCGTCTATATAATCAAATATTAGTTTTGAAACATTGTCGCAGTCAAATTCACCCATAGACGTAAACCTCATAAATTAAATGTAAAAAGACGTTCATAATCACCAATGAACAATAGACTATGCTTAACCTTCAAAACCGTTTCATTGCCACAGAAATAGCCTGTTCGTCCCTATCGGGCCACTCCATAAGCTGTCCCCAGCTTTGATTAAGTAAGCTTAAAGTGAGGCTGGAAGAGTCTACCAATAGAGTTGAAGGGAACATGTGCATAGCAGTCAAAACTGTTTCATTGGCGTATATACCCTGTTCACCCCTTTCGAGCCACAGTTATAAGCAGCCTCACTCGCTGATTATGTAAGCTAACTATTACTCTGGTCGAGTCTACCTCACAGATGTGAGGGGAACTAACTCCTAATAATATCTTGACTGCTGCGAGTGCTTGTTGGGTTTTTTTCCTCGACTTTTTAACGTCCTATAATCAGATCGTAACCTCGATTATGACACCGGCTCCTGGCCGCGAAAAGCTAGACAAAAATCAGCCAAATGTGAAATAAAAAATTAATAATTGGCATGCTCTACCAAAGTGTTTCGGCTGTCTGGTATAACATGCCATTGTAGTACAGACATCTCTGCTTCTTTCCTTAGTATTCGTGTGTTCAAATCTAAAGTTAAATTTAAGGTTGGTTAGAATAAATATTTAATTTAATACTTTCTCGATTAATTTAGTGGTTGAATATGCGTACAAAATGAATTCAGGATTTGTTTTCATTCACTACTCAGAGTTGCTGCCTCCAGTGCCAGTAAGTTTCTTGTGACTTGTGTGAGTGTGATATCTCCAGGCCCTATCTGGTCCTATCTCATTTTGATTACCCTGTCAAACAAGTCAGCCTTTGCCCCTGACACTGAAGCTAACGAAAATGTAGTTACGTGTTCAGTGACATGGGTGCATTATGAGACGTGCTTACGCTTTTATTTGAGCTCAAGTATTATGTGGAAGTAAGTACAGGTTGTATCGATGGAAGCAAAGTGGCAAAGCTCACGAGCCTCAAGAAAGAGGTGAATTTACTTCATTTGTGATGCACTTTAGTACTACGATTGAATTAATTGCACTGAGTTTGTGATATTATGCATCTGGGGTTGAGGGCCAACAAACGATCCTATCTTGGGGTACTCTATAACAATATATTTTTGAGCAGAATGGGAGATAAATTTGCATGTTAGGTAAGTAAATACGCTACTAACTTAAGCCCACCCCAAGTCAAAAAAGTTAGCACCAGTAATGAGTAATCTATACATAAGTACAAAATTGGTGTCTAAGTCGGAGGAAAACAGTTGACATTTTTTGGAGGGGTAGGCTTGTCAGTTTTGTTGCTTTTTCTTCTCTTGTGTGCCGTATGGTATAATACACCCCTGTGAATACTGTGACTGTGTAAAGTGTAAGGCTATTCAACTGGTTGGACCTCCCAATTGAATCTTGTCTCCGATGAGACCATGTGCTTTTTAAAAATTAATTTTTTAAAGAAAAGATGTATATGTTTTTAAACCTCGATAGATCTACATGTACGTTCAACTACATGTGTAGTCAGGTCCCGTGCCGTCGTCTTTAGGGGAAGACTCTTGGGTCAATATCAACTCCATCACTCTTAATGAGGTACGGAAGCCTTACGTGTAATTCTAAAATGTCAAATATGATAGACTTCTTAAACTCATCAACACCAGTGTCTGTGGTGCAGCGGTTAGGCGCTTCGCTGTCGCATTCAGGAGACCCGAGTTTGATTTCCGAACTGGGAGAAATTTTTATCAAGTCGGTCTTTCTGCTGGGAAATTGTATCCCTCTCGGCCAGTGTTAGTGTTACTCAGAGTGGCACGATCGGAAGCCGTCTCCTGAGTGTCGATGAGGGCATAAAAACACCTACATCTAAAATTTGAATTTAAAATTGCCTACCACATATTGTTCTTAGTCTTAGTTTTAACTATATCACGTGAGCTACAGGTCATGCTAACCTTTCGAATACTTCTCTTGACACCTGAGAATGTTTTGTTCAAATGAAGAAACAATTTCTGTAATCACTGAACGCCGTTCCTCGTCTGTTATTACATGAACCATGTCCCTCAGCTGTGGTATTTCAGACATGTTCCATTTCTTCACCATCTTCAACAACACAGTTCCATCTTCGGGGGAAAAGGTCTGTGGAGTGAATAGTTTTATGGTTTAGTCACACTTGGCGTGAGCTTTCAGATGGATATATATGTATACATGATGTATTTGCTGGGTGCCTAACTCTAACAACAACAACAAAAAAGAACCCTGTATAACTCGGATGCGCTAATTGTAGCAAATTTTCGCACAAGTTAAATTCATCTAAGGAGAAGTAAAACTTTTTGATTGCAAACAAGTGCTACGACTACAAGACAGCTACTATACCGTACTATATATGGTACATGTGTAGCAGTAGCGGGATCTTTATAATGTCTGCGGGAAGAATTTAAATTTAAAAAATTATCATAATATGAAATCTGCATAAAGTCCATTTATAGCAGACACACTGCTGACAAAATGGCACGGGAAGAGGGGTGGAATACAATTCCGACACAATTGATAGAGGTACGGAGGGAGGTCGAGGATCAGAGGGGAAAGTAACTGGAAAATTCAGCTGCCGGTGTGGTCCTGCCCGACGGATCTTCTACCAGAATCTACTAACTGAGATTATAGGCAGATAGACTTAAAAGTGGATCCTGGGAAGAAAAGGGGCGGGCAGCTATGTATCGTCTTCAATGATCGCAACATTGTAGACAATACGACAAATTTGTACATACAATAATGGCAATTATTATGAAATGTGGCCCCAACTAATAGGAAATCAAAAGATCTAACAGAACTCGTAAACTTTATATATGTATGGTGCATGTAGTTAGGTGGGATTGATTAGTGCATCGAAGAAAAAAAGCAAAATGTAAGCTTACTTTACTTTATCCTCTCTATTTTGTTAGATTTCGAGGGGAGGTGCAATTTTTAGGTGAAGGGCTAGGTGGGTGGCTTCTGGGTTGTTTTTAAAAAATTAATCTTTAAGATAAGATACATCTTTATCGTCCAGATCTTGGCACATTAGTTTGATGTTTCGCCACACACACACACACACACACACACACACACACACACACACACACACACACATACACACACACACGCACACACACACACACACACACACACACACACACACACACACAAACATGCACACGAACGAACATGTGCATACCCATATACACACACACTCTTCCCTCCCATATCCTCTCTTCCACACACATCTGTGCACATAACCATTATAATTATTGTACAATAGTATGCTAGCACTCACAAACGGGCTCACAGTCACATGCATAAGACAAATGAACAGTAATTACAAACATTAATAGTGTTTAGGTAGGTACAAACTCAGTATTCTGATCGTAACTCAAAGGTATTCTGATGAATGCTTTAAAGGAAATAGGAATACTTATATAACAAGATGCATAAGATGGTAGAAGTTTAATTGATTATTGTAAGAATGACCTTCTCTATCTTTCTTTGATACAGATCGAAAGCATAGATCTTTTACTTCTGATCAATATTTTTATTTGAGGGAGCAAAGGATGTTTATTGTTTAAAAAATGGAATTAATTTTTCTAGTGGAAGCGATAATGCGGTGTTCACACCTACAAGAGAAGAGTCGACGAGCAATTCCCGGTAAGATAATGCCAAATTCGGGTGACGAGCATATGGCCAT